TGTGTAAATGTGCCTGTTAATTGCCGATTCACTGGAATATCAGGATTCTAAAACTTCTCTGGCATTCCTGGTGTTTCCTCTGTCTAATATTTGGACATTGTCCCAGTCGAATTGATGTCCATGGTTCTCTGTATGTAGTGATATTAGGGAGCGTCTTTCGACGGCTAGCTTATGTTCGTGGATACGAAGACGAAGAGGACGTCCACTTTGGCCAATGTAGTGTTTTTCGCAGTTGTTACAATTTATTTTGTGGATGATGTTGGTTTTATCTTCTTTCGTTGTTGAGTCTTTTGGTAGACATAGAATTGAGTGAAGTGACTTTGTTGGTTTGTGTGCGACGTCAATTCTTAAAGGCTTGAAGAGTCTTGTAATGATTTCTGAGATATCTTTTATATATGGTAAGGCGAGTTTCTTTGTGCTTTCCTAGGGTCTTTTGGTTTATAGGTTGGCTTGGGTGTATATATCTTTTGATGAAATTCCGTGGATATTCGTTCTTTGGGAAGACGTCCATGAGATACTTTTCTTCAATTTTTCTCAAGGTGGGAGTGCTGCAATGAGTCGTTGCCCTCTTGCTCGAAAATATAATTCTACCAAAGATCAAACCCAAGATTTGGATACGTTACGTCGATGACATTTTTGCAATAATCAAAAGAAACGAGTTAGATAGAACGCACAACTTAATAAACAGCGTCTTCAACATCGAATTCACAAGAGAAGAGGAATCCGAGAACCCAGTCCCATTTTTGGACGTCTTAGTCAGGCGAATAACCACAGGGGAATTAGAAACTCAAGTTTATGAAAAATCGACTTACACAGTTATTTCCCAATAAATTATTTTTTAAACGTCTGCCACTCCAAGAATATCTCAGACAGTCTCACTGCCAATTAACACAACGCTTGCTCCTCTCCTTCTAATTCAGTATTATTATGACTGACAGAAAATCTAGCTCTACAGTTGGTGTGATTGTGGTGAGAGCTGTCTACTAGTCAAATCGGTAGACAGTAATTTACGTCAATGATTACGTCCCTAATATTGGTTATGTGAAAACAAGAACAAAGACTGACTCAACAACCAATCACAGCAGACTTTGCATAGGCGGATACAATTAGCAGATAAAGGGTCCGACCTTCAATAAACAGCTAAAAAGAGATGAAAGATTAACTTTCAGTGAGAAACAACTAATTAGAAGACTGTGTTGTCTGTCAACAATAATCTATGATGTTTTACATGAAAATCTATAAATATCTGTTGATTTCCTGAATAAAGGAACTGTTACCTAACTCTTGCCTTCTGTCGTTACATGATGATCAAAAGATAATAACACACCATTGATTCGTGTGACAGGTGGTTGCTACTCATTGTGACCTGGTTGGCAGTTTACACTGGTGACTTTGCTGTTAGAGAACATGAGTAGTAGTTTAGAAGATGCTGGTTTGAATTCCTCCATGAATCGAGTTCTCATTTTACCCTCAGTCATCACTGATGTTATTGAAACGGAATAATCTGGTTACAGTTTCCTTCGAAATACAACTTGAATTGTTTACTAACATTCTAAACACAATATTCAGTGGAGAGACTCTTTCCAATGAATTAATTGTCGAACTGTACAATCGTAATTACATATGGTTTTTAATAAATTATATCTCGTGAGGAAATTTAAACAAAGTTTTCTTTGTTTTTTTATTCCCTTACGTTCTCAATGGAACATAGGGCTTCAAGCTAGGAGCTTGAAGTTTCAGTAGCAGTGTTGTTTATTTTTACAGGATGGGGTTGCTAGCTTAATATGCAACCTTTTGACTTTACCAGTCTTGTTACTGGCTTAGCGAGGTAAGGGGTGCGAGCGTCCTACCGCTGTGTCACCGACGCACATAGAAATCCCTGTTTCCTGAAATCTTGACGACATTAGTGAAATAGAGTAAGCAGCCAAAATGACCTGTAAGCGACTTCAGAGACTCAACTGATGATCAGTAGAATGTAGCACATGTTTGAGCTTGATAGTATTGACTGATTTACCTTTTGCTGATCAGTTCAAGTCCAACATCAACGTCTGCATTCTACGACACCATCCATAGTTAGAAAGCTATTAAGGCGTCCTTCCTGCTTCACAGCAAAAAAAATTAAGGCAATTGAAAGTGGTAAATAGATATCCATCAAACTCAAGAATTACTCCAAGTTCTTAAATGTCAAGCTATGTAGCAGTTGTCTCGATGGACGAATACGAAGATTGATACATTTTTAGTGTTAAAGGGAGTAAATAGTACTTTAAAAGTTACTTCATTTCTTAACCTGAAGCTTCGAATCGGTGCGAATTATTCTTAAACTGATATAAGAATAAAACTTGTGCACTGTGGTAGAGTGTAATTCCATTATGGGTAAATTTTGTTTTGATAAAGTCTCACAGTGTTATACAGTAATGTTTACTGGTATTCTTAAACTATCATTTTATTTCTAGCAGGTACACACGAAACAACATTATGCACTTTACTCCTCAAAATTAGTAATTGAGCTAAGTGAACTGAATCATTTTGACTAACTTTCTGATGCCATTCACCAACTGTCTTGCTGTCTGGACTCAACATAGAACTTGGCACTGAAGTGCAGAAGTTCGAGTTGCCACGTTCCAAATAGCACACAAAGGTAGACAAGAAGATGAGTGGAGAGAATTAGTGGAGTTTGACAAGTATAAGGGTGAAACAGAATGGGTAATGGTAGAAAGAAATATGAAAGATTATAGAAACTGAATATTTCTGCACCATTGACAACGATTTTGAGCCATGTCACCTATTGTCTCCAGCCATTGATTCCTAGAGTCCCGAGGGCCCCAACCCGGAAGTCTGCATCTCCCAACCTACCTGACTCAGTTTAATTGTCAAGGATTTCATGGATTGATGCCATGTTTTTGTTTGGCCACCACTGGCTCTTTTCCAACCTGCACCTATATCAGCTAGCAATGCCCGTCGAGCGGGGGAGGCGATGGTTAGGCATGCGCAGCACGTGACCTAGCCATCTCAATCTACGTAACTTTATAGCCTCGTCGATTGATTTTCCGTCTTTGCCCAACACTCTACGCTTAGTTTGATTATTATTATTATTATTATTATTATTCAGAACACCTTTCTAGCAGCTTACGGCGAGCTGTCATCTGAACTGATGACGACCAGTGGTGTCCGTCAAGGATGCTCATTATCCCCTTTTCTATTCAACTTCATCATAGATGTGTTAATGGACTTAACCCTAGGTGACTTCAGCGACTCAGGGATTGACTTGCTACCGGGGAATAATCTCGTTGACTTGGAATATGCAGACGATATAGTCCTTCTAGGCGAAGACGCTGACGAAATGCAGAGTCTTCTAAACACCTTGAGCCGCAATCTACGAATGTTTGGCATGCGATTCGCTCCCGCCAAATGCAAGATGATGTTACAGGACTGGACTACATCGACGCCTAGTTTAAAAATAGGAAGTGAAGTGGTAGAGCACGTTGACCGATTCACTTATTTGGGAAGTACCATCAGCCAACGCCAACGGGTTGATCTCTGACGAAATCTCAGTACGAATACAGGGGGCTCGTTTCGCATTTGGCAGTTTACGCCGACTCTGGCGTAGACGAGATGTTCGACTATCGACCAAAGGGCGGGTGTACTGCCCATCAGTCCGCTCCGTCCTCCTTTATGGTTGTGAGACCTGGCCACTGAGAGTGGAAGACATGAAAAGACTAACTGTCTTTGATCATGGGTGCCTGCGTTCTATTTCCCGTGTAAAGTGGCATAATAAGGTGAGCAACATGGAGGTTAGGCGTCGAGTTCTAGGTAAACAGGGGAAATCAATCGACGAAGTCGTGAAGCTACAAAGACTGAGATGGTTAGGACATGTGTTACGTATGCCAAGTCATCGCCTCCCTCGACGAGCTATGTTAGCGGATATAGGGTGAGGCTGGAAAAAAGCTAGCGGCGGTCAAACAAAAACTTGGCACCAGTCAATGAAATCCACAACAGTTGGTCTAAGCCACGTAGGAAGGTGTAGACTTCCAGGCTGGGGTCCTCGGGACGGTAAAAATCTATGGTTGGAAACAATTGGTGAATGGCTCAAAACCGTTCTCAGTGGCGCAGATGCATCCACTCCTTGTGACTTATGATCTTCAATGAAACTGTTTTCTTTTTCTGTATTACTCCTTTGCCTCACACCTCTGCTCACTGTTTCTATTATGCTTTTCTTGTACTTTCTTCTCTTGCTTCGCGTGCTACACGGAATGTGGCGACTTGAACTGTCGCACATTTGTGCAAAGTTCTATGTCGAAAACAGACAGACATATTAGAACCCCAAATAATACTAGCTACAGCCAAAATACCCCGTTAATTCGTTGAAACAGGTAAGCCTAAACACTACGTAGAGCTAACAGCCGCTAATTTAGGTATTGAGATGTTGCAAGAAGTAAGCAAAAGTACTAGAGCTTCGAAGTTCCTGTAGCAGTGATTTTATTTTTACCGCTTGGGGAGTCGCAAGCTTTATGCCTAAATTTCGCCTTATACCATCAGGGCTTGGGAGTGCGTCGACCGAGCATCAAACCATGGACCATGTGTGTAGTTGCCTAGCGTTCTACTGCTGAACCACCGACGTACAACAAGTACATTATAGTAACTGTTTCCAAATTTAGTAACTTTAAAAAAAACGTATGACTGAAAAGATAAAAGAGTTTGACAGTCGATTAAAATTTAAAAGAAATCCGATATCAACTAACAAAGTTGTGAATACATCAAAGTAGCATTCTACACGGTTTCCCAAGCCAGATTTACATGATTAAATGGAAAGCCTACTAAGTAATCATATGTAAAGCAACACAGTAAATCTCATTTTATAACAAAACATTCGTGTCAATAACTCCTTCTTCTAGTTCTATAGCTACTTTGTTTATATCAATCAGAAAGTATTAGTTGTTAACAAAATTAGTAGGTTTTTTCTTCGCTAAAACACCAAACCATTACAATCAATGAATTCGATTGCCTCATACTACAAGTTTGTATACCAGTAGACAATGAAATAACAATTTCTTCATGAAATTCTTAGTATATCCACGTATTCACGCCTAAAATGTATGAAAAAAGGAAAAGGCGATAGCAACATAGGCGAAGTCATCAACTAGGCTGTACACTAGAGGCGAGGAAGTTGCAGGACTGTTTACCTTCAGAAGTCAAAATATACTAAAAAACAGGAACTGAAACATAATAATAAAGAGAAAGATGAACAAGAAGTTAGGGTGGAAATCATAACTTGGGTTATATTAGTTTTCTTGAGAAAACGATGTCTATGGTCTATCAACTACGCATGGATGTCTTGATTTCACTCCCTTTGAGAGGTTTCAAGGAATCTTCTGTAGAACTTTGAAGAATTTCTGAAAATCAGCTAGGCGTCCAAAGTTCAGAAGATGTTCTTTTTATCGAATTAATGCTAGACAGACCGGATAGTGTTCCCGAGAACCGAAAAGAAAACATTTTTCTTCTCTACATTCATTTTTTTAATTTTATCTGAACATTTGTAACGTAGTAGTGTACTCAGGAGTTTGAACATTCCACAAAATGTAAGGGTAGCTGAATTTGTTTCCTTGGCAAACATAATTCCAAGTTTGATCACGGATTGATATCAATTAGGCAACTATTGGAAACCAGGGATAAATGGACATCTGTTTCCCCCTAGTTGCAGACTCATCAGCAGTGGCATCTGGAATTCATGGGCCAATGAATCCGTTGCCAGTGCCTGAATGGCCTGTGAGCTTGTTGTGTAACCGTAAGATCCAGGGCTCTAAATCCAGTGGGCGTTTAGTACCAATGAGTCCCAAACCAGAACAAAACAGCTATCCGGTACTCTAGTGCTAGCGACTTTCAACGGTTCGACAACTGATATCAATCCGTGACCAAACTTGAAAGAAATTAAATCCCAAGAAACAAATTCCAGGAAATTCACAATTCGGGTTGTGTTCAGTCAAATCGGTGTGGCTTCTGTTGTTTTCGACGGCAACATTCATATGATATGAGATCTGACTTGTTGTTGTTGTTGACGTAAATTTTCACCAAATAATACACTTCTCAGCAAAAATCTCTCAAATGTATATCAATTAACTGTTTATTTGACATTAGGCTTAGTAATAAATTTCGTTACTGGACGCACTACAAGTTCCATTTCTCTTTCTTTGTATCCAATTAACAAAGAAATATTAACCTAAATTAAGGCCAAAAATATCTTCCGATTTGTTTGTTTGTTTTTTTTTACTTATCTATTTATTTTATAAATTTCTTCTTTGTTACACACCTAGTTGACACTTTGTGAATATATTTAGGCAATAATTTCACTCTCATTCTCCACCATGCGGACGCTCACTCTCTCCCTTACGATCTGCCCTGTGTGTGTGTGTGTGTGTTTCACAAGAAATATACTGATAAAATTTCTATTTAGCTTATTGTCAGCATTTAGTGTCAATAACATTCAATGTTCAATACTAACAAACCTACTGTGTGGTCATTCGATTAGGTGGTCTAAATCACAGGAAATTAAATTCGACTTTGTGACAGAAGAAAATAGTAAATGAGAAGCCTTCCATTCTGGTTTAGTACTTATTACCAACGACTGACAGGTTAAACATCTGGCAATCGACGGGGTTGTGAACCTTCTCTGCCTGCAAATACTCTCAACCAGTTTGATATATTGTTTGTTTGTTCCAAGTGAGTAGGTGACTGACTGTAGGAAGAAGTTTTGCTTAACCAACTGTCTGACTGAACATTATTCCATATTTCATCACGAATAGGTCTCAGTACTCAACAATAAGTCAGTCTCCGATTCCGTATTAGATAAGTTAATTTGATGCAACACACAGTAATACAGTATTACTAATTGAATGACCTTTTGAGCATTACTTATTGTTCATATCGCGTCTAATATGAATTTACATACTACCACACCAATAAGTCAGCATAACAGCGTAACATCTAACCAAAATTGATTTCTACCAACGAGTCTAGAACATCTGATCGATTCCGATCAACAAACAAACTTTCAAACTCACTTTATAGTCATCTACAGGGTATAAGGCTATCTTCATCAAGCAGCACGAATCAAATTTTTTTCAAACCCCAGAAACCGTGACAAACTATATAGGAAATCCTGAAGCTCGAATACACAAATTTGTCTAAATATTTAAAGCGTAATTTTTTCCCTATCAGTATTATCTACTGATGATGTTTCAAACCAAACTTGTTGTCAATATATTATATTATTTTTTATACTAATGAAACTATTGGTCTTCCGGTTACTTTGATTGGACACTAGTAACTAGTGTGATGTGTCTCGCCCATTGTTTGGTGCACACTGAATTCTGTCGTTTAGGTTTGCAGTGTGGCCACCATTCTAGGTGGCTCGCCATCATGGTGTACATTGATTTGATTATATTAGATGGTTGGAGGCAATCAGCCACAGGAAGCCCAGCTTGACCTAGGTTTCGTGCTAGTTGGCACTCATCATCAAGGAGTATCTGGAACCGTCCTGAAGGAACACATGTCACTTCTGAGATTCGAATCCACGTCACCCAGTGCCACCTTCGTCAGAGACGTTACCACTGAGCCATTTGGACTCGCGATTGACCTCCTGTAGGATTGTATTGGGTGTGATGTTTCTAGTCCTTTCTTTCGCCAAACTGAATTCTGTAAGTTAGGTTTGCAATGTGGACACCATTCTAGGTGGCTCGCCATCATGGTGCACATTGATTTCGGTTAGGAAGCTTTATAACAAACCCAATACAACTTTCTTACATATCATCGCATTTTCAACATTTAATGTTTTAAAAAAGGTATATAAAAGCCTTGATATGACTATGAGCAGTAAACTGTGTACGAAACGCCAACCGTAGACAGTACTGTATCACTGTGAGTTTTTATCAAATAGAATTATTTTCTCTGATGGAATTGTGCTCTACCGTAATGCTCAAATTCTATCTTTATACATATTTAATCCTTACGACAGTGACCTTAAGTTGACCTTCTTCCAGTTTTAACTGCACTTTACTTAGCCTTTCCAATCATCTTGCGTCATTCAACTTACTCGACTAATGTTTCTGCGCTGAACAACTTTCTTGAGGATCACTTAGTTGTTATTTGAAACTCAAAAACTTCAGTGACACTAGTGTGAACACATTCCTTCTGATACTGCGACTATGTATTATATTATACATCGCCATCGTTAAATAACTTTTCTTTATTTTTGCAATAATTTCTCCTCATATCAAAGTTGTAGATTTGGAGAACTTGTATGACACAGAGCTTCCATTATAGCATTTACATTATATTACCTTCCTGATGTGTTATTCGACAAATATCGTGTTTTCAGTTTTGCTTATATCTGTTCACTTGCTCTCACGAAGCTTGGTATATTTGTGATATTTGGATAGTTTGAATATTACGAGTTGATCACGGATTGATATCAGTTAGAGGACCATTGGAAACCAGAGAGCACTAATGAGCTGTTTCCTTCATCCTAGTTTAGGAATCATCGGCAGTACACAATGATTGTCTAACTGATATCAATCTATGATCCACTCGTAAAAACAAATCTAATCCTCACAAACCAACTCTTGAAAATTGATCTGATGCTCACTAGCGACTTGCTACAGGACAGAGTTTCCTGGAGTTCTAGTGAGAAGTCTTGACCAGTGAGGTCCAACCAATCAGGTGTGAGGATGGATTTCCCACCGACGACATTGGTTGGAGTCACGCTAAACCAAGAACTGGTAGGAATTAGAAATCAGGAGCTGGTCATCGGATCGGGTCCCAGTGGCTGAATGGTATACGGCCCTGCATTGTAACCAGAAGGTCCTGGGTTCGAAACCTGGTGGTGAGTGAGTACTACTGATGATTCCCAAACTAAGATGGAGGGAACAGCTGTCTATTACTCCCTATTTTTCAATGGTTCTCTAACTGATATCAATCCGTGATCAACTCGTAAAACAAATCTAATCCTTACAAACCAACTATTGAAAGTAGTTAGGATATGAAAAAATTCGAGGTAAAACAAAGTGGAAACAAAAGACTTGCCGAAAATGCAATAAACAAACCTCTACAATCTCCCGCAAAGCCATTCATGACAGTGGACTGTTGACTATGAAAATCAATATGTGTTCGCCATTATCTTACCTTGTTACTTTCAAATATATTGAAAAGACTTATCAAACGTTTTCCTTGTAAATGTTCGTGACAGAAAATTGGGATTATACCACTGCAGTAAACGAAATAGTAGTTTTATGTCTCTAATAATGAACGGAATTCACTAAAATAATTATAAGCATACCCAATCGTTAAGTTAGTATACATAAGTAATAAATATAAGTACAATTTGTACAGTTATTGATTGCAAAATATTCAAATATTTTCCAATAATCTAAAAACGATATTCTTTGTATACCTGCACAACTGAATATATATATGTAAGCGGAGTAAAGGAAAAAACTGTGCTACGACAAACATCTCTACTTATAATCATATGGAGTTTCAGGTGATGAAAAGTCAATCTCTTTCAATGCATAATGTCTTCGTATAAATTCACGCCATTTCTTCGGTGTTATTACACGTGACTGATGTATTTCCTCGGATGATGATGCATCGATTAAAACACAATTCATAGACTGTTGAAACTGTTGAATTTCATTTAAAAATTTTGATATTTTAACATTTAAACTTTTCTCGACAACAGACATTTTTGAAAGTTCTCTTCGAATGTTGTTGATAAGTTTCTGATCAATGTTCAACAGTTGATCAACTTTACTTCGGTCTAATTCTGTTTTATTTTCAATTTGATGTTGAATACTACCTTGTCGTAAAATGGATATACAATTTTGTTTGGAGTTTTCATCAGATTCTAAACTTGTTTGATCTCTGAAAAACAAAACAGAAACGAAAGGTTGTAAGAGTAATTTCGCCTCTTCCATGTGGATCTACCAATTTAACTAACCCCGTGGAGCCAGTTAGCTGCGAAGGCCGTACAATTAGGAGTGTTTCTTGTTGGATTTCCGAAGATCACCCTGCAAAGTGGTTAAGTGAAGGACAAACAAAATCTATTCGTAGCGCTATTCTATCTCATCTTGTGGATATAGAACACAAGATCGGTGTCATCTAAGTGACTTTCAAAGTCATTTACCACATACCAACAAATCTTAACTTCACCTTGAGAGTTAGTTCACTAAATATTGCTGAGGAAATTGAGATCCACATTATGAAACCTAATTTATGCGTCCAAAAGAAGCTAGTTTAGACATTATCCTTACCCTGGCCTTCTAGGTTTGAATAATCCCCAATTTTTATGGAAATTTCCCTAATTTTAGTTGATATTCTGTTTGCTACTATATCTTTATTATGATTATAATTTAAGCATCTTTAATGAACTGTAATTCCATTGATCTTACTTTACAAATTGATATTATTTAAAAAACACTAATATTGTTATTGACTACCATTATAGAATACTCCATGTGTATAAACATAAATATAATTCTGGAGCCATGGGAGGAAATTATCGAAAAGGATATTTTTTGCTCAATTATTTTGTTTTTTATAGATCTCTGAATGAATATTTTCACTATATTGAATGTGAATAGATTCCAACTTTATAGAAGGCATTATGTTTATTGTGAGTAAATATGGAAGGAATTTGCCTATTAGATAATAGGTTAAGAATTATCAGTATGTTCAAGGGGTCTTAAGCATGTTTTAATCCTGGCCACACAAGAAGGTTGCTTGATTAGTCTGTCATACGCTCTGAAGTTGGTATTACCTTGCGCCAGTGGCCTAATGGTCAACCAGCTCGCATCGTTCGATCTCCTGTGGGATCAAAGGTGAGCATTTTTAAAGAGCTGAATTAAGTGTTTTCTCTGAGCTAGTTTATTTAATTGCAAAGCTTTCATCGTCCTGCTAGATAACATCTTCAGCGCAGGTTTTAGTATAAACTGGACTTATTTATTAAATTCTCCATGAATGATGTAACTGTATCTCCTTACAACCACTGTCTTGATACCGCCAGTTGATATGGACTATATTTCGACCGTATACACCATGAAGTCGTAGGCATATTTTGGAAATCTGTCTAACTTGAATAGCTGAAGCAGAATTGAAGGATGTCATTAGTTCTGTCATCAAGCATCTTTTCGATTTGAGACACAGACTAATCCTGTATGACTGCCTTACTGTGATCCATCCTCCTCTAAAATACAATACAAAAGGGTTTTGAATATATGTCACTTATACATATCTGAATTAATGGCCATTAAGGAACTTTACCCTGAATGGCCCCTATGCTAAAAGGATATACATCCACTCAAATATCCTGCCATGATTATGGTAACATTCTCACCAGAACTTTATCTCATTTCATCGTTCGATACTTAGATTAGTATAATAATTATAATTTTATTATTACCTTTGCTTATCGTTGATATATGTCTAAACACTCTGCAGTATTTCCATTATCTTTTTCTTCCATTCGGAAAGATTAGGTCATTTTCACGCCTATTATGTGGTAACCATACGTTTCTGTATGACTTCTCTTATAGTATGTTATAGATTAATCCTCACATTATGTACTACAGCATTTTCTACAACATAAATACCAGTATTTAACTGTTGAATATAAATACGATTGTACAGCAATTTTTACAAATAACTCGTCGAAAAGGAAATTTTCTTCTCTTTCACGTGTTCTCATTTTATATCAATTTGCTTATTTGTTTGTTCTAGTACAGTAAACTATAATTTGTGTATTAATCAATATGGTATTGATTTTATTGACTTAATTTACAATTTGAATTATGATGTTCAACAAACAGTTCAGTAGTCCAATGAGCTTTTCCGGGGAGATGATCAGTAGAATACACATTACATACAGTATAATCGATCGTGTGACGAGAACTCAGGTTCCATTCTTATTTTATTCTTATCTGTATTATTTGTGACCCACACAAAAAAACTTGGAGGGTCTGAACTTCGCCGATGATATATGTCTGATTTCCCACAAACTGGAAGATATGCAAGTGGAAAGCAACAAGCTGGTAGAATCAACAATAATCAAAGATTGGACTTCAGGTGAACATACAGTAAACAGAGGTGATGAAGATTCCTGGCCAACATCAACAGCAACAACAGACAACAGTCAGCCAGCATAAATGGGAGGGACCTGAAAGAAACAACCTCCTTTACCTACCCACGTGGGCATCGTTTCAACTACAGGCCGACGGAACTGACGAGGATATCAAAGCAAGGATAGGGAAAGCAAGGCAAGCTTTCATTTCTCTCAAGTTTGTGTAGACGTCAACAGCACTCAGTATGGAAATAAGATCCGGATTTTCAACTCCAATGTGAAGTCAGTCAGTGCTACTATACGGATCAGAGACTTGCACTGCGCGTCATAAACAGCACCTCAAACAAACTACAGACCTTCATCAACAGCTGTCTTTGCTCAGTACTTAAGATCAGATGGCCAGAAAAGATCAGCAACAGGGATCTCTGGCAATGAGCAAACCAACCAGGAACCGATTGTACAACAAATAAGCAGGAGGAAACGGAGGTAGATTGATTAAATTCTGAGGAAACCATCAAGTGACATCACTAGACAATCCTTCGCGTGGAACCCGAGAGGGAAGCGGTGAGTTGGTCATCAGTTCAAGGGTGACTTGGAAGAGGCCATGTGAAGAGGAGATGAAAGCATGTGAGCATACTTGGAGCCAGGTGAAAACTTTAGCAGAGAAGCGAACGCAATGGAGACGTGCGTCTGAAGCCCTATGTTCCTCTAGGAATTAAAGGAAATAATAATGTATTATTTGTATAGGCTCTGAGAAATCAACAACTTCATACAGTTTTTTCTTCCCTTTAATCAACTTGGAACAAGCAAGAACAATAAATTTAGCTGGACAATATGAAACTATCGTCTAAATTTCGCAGTCTTCTTAGCTGTTTACAGTCGAAAACAATTAAACTAAAATGGTTATAATTTAAAGACTATTCCTGTATAAAATCAGCATACTGAACATCTCTTTCCTTAATATTAGAAGTCTTTTCCAAGTGTACACTGCATGACTAACTTCAGGAGAAGTTGTGTGAGGATAAGAAAGAAGCGGTTTTCAATCAATGGATCCCAACTAGTAACACAGTTAAGTGGTTAATAATTCTTATGTCTCACCGAAATGAAAAGGAGGGTCGCCTGACAGGCCAAAACAGCAATAAGAGAGTTGGATTGCACCATCAGTGGGAACAGTGGAATGCTATAAAATACAAACTCAGAGAACGAGTCTAGCATAGAATTAAATGTGAGTTTAATGGGAACAATGTTTTGAAAATCCCTCCTGAAAGATCTGATCACATATTTGTAATTATTATCCGTTTTTCTCCTCAACTGTATGTCATTATTTTGACATTTGCATATAGTATGTTATTTTGATCCTTATTATTAGTCTTCATTTATGTTAAACCTCTCATTTTAATGCTTCTCTTTTTGATTGCGTGTACACTGATAATGTATTGTACGACGGGATTCTGTTTAAGTGAATGAAAGCCATTCTGACCTTGGACTGTTCGTGAGTAGCGCTGATGTGGGATTCTTGTGGATAAAGCGTTTGACCCCACCCTTTTGCGAATATTCTACTTGATTTGTAAGTAGTCGTTTCGCGCTTAGACTGAATTGTATCACTGTCTAGTGGCAGTGTTGGGGCAACTCAGAGTTTTTTATCTCACGGCTGTTGTTTAACAGAACCACAGATCCCAGAAATAAGTAATCGTCTTCTACATCTACACAAGAAACCGACATATCAACCTGAAACCGAGCGCTTCGGTCCAATCAATCGACGGGAGAATCTAGAATTCAATTAAATAATTAAAAATAAACCAGTTGCACAAGAGGTGGCTACCGTGGCCTACTGGGTTCGAGCCTCCGTGGGAGCATAATAATTCGCTGCGGAATGCAGGTTCATCCACCTGGCGAGTCCCGAATAGGACGAAATACGCATCCTGGATTCCTCTGCTAGTCGTCACCCACCAATTAACTCCTAATCTTCTTCTTGTTGCTTTTGGAGAGTTTCGCGACTGTCCATGTGTCAAAGAAGTTTTGCCAAGTACACAATAGAACACAGAGACCGGTCTTCTGAGTTAAGACCATAAAGAATCGGTTTCAGTCGCGACAGTGAATTCTGGCACCTGTTTAAAAAGTCGATCTGTTATAGACAGAAATGAACAATTAGTTCATTTTAATGTTCGCATCCATCCTTCTCAGTGAATCCCATCTGTATTTATAGAAATATAATTTCATATTAATATATATGTGTGTATATAAGTCAATTAATTAATGATTATTCATTTCCTGTCATTAAAATGTTACATTATCCTGCCAATAAATTTTCTGAATTTAATTAAAAGTAAACAGGAAGTTAGTTGTTCAGTAGGACTGTATTTAACTTAAACAAACAATAGGTAGATGGATTTGAATTCTCTTCACTACAAGCGCTTAATTGAGTTCTGTTGGCTTTTATTTACTGGAAGTCAAATGTTTATTTGATGGAATTATTACTTTTGTATATTCTGGTGTTTATTCTGATTGCACTGAAATGTTGTTGGGATGGATACCCCGACAATTCCTGGAGGCTGAAATGATACTGCCTTGTTGACAGTGACTAGCACTGTGATATTCTTGATGTTCGTTTCATCCTGTTAGAAACTCATCACCTGGATGTGTTTCCATTCCCAGCAAGTGGTGATAGACCCAATGAAACTTGAACCAAGCACCCATCATTTCAGAAGATAATGCGTTGTCCACCAGGCCAGTGGGCCACATCAATCACCTTTCATCCAGACAGTATCAGGTGTTATTCAATGAAATCACGTTTAAATTTCTTGTT